GATTGGCACAGGACAGAGCGGAGTTTAGGGCTCTTGTACACAGGGTCGCTATGAGTCGCAAGCGACTCGACAGCACATAACAACAACAACAATGCATGAAAATGATTGTGTGAAGTACAATATAAATGAAGAGTAGTGTTAAATAAATTGTATGTGAACAAACTAATAATATAAGAAAATGAATAGGGGGAAAATGGACATCATTGTTTTGCACTATGTAGAGGTCTTTGACAGTAGATTTTCCCAAAGCAAAATACCTTCTGATTTCTGACTGCTGTTACCATGGGTGTTGATTATTAACCCAAGTAGAATGAAGTTGTGGACAGCTTCAGTATTCTCTTCTTTTATCATTATGTTTATCATGCAGTTGTGAAGACCTTTTTTCTTTATTTTAAGGTGTAATCCATATGTTCATCTACAACTTCAGCCAACATTGATACTATTATTGTCACAACTATCTTTACCACCACCATCTTTAAATCACCATCATAATCTCAACCATCATCACCACCACCATCACCAATACCATCACCAACACTATCACTCCTACCACCTCCATTACCACCATCACCATACTCTCTGACAGGTTAAATGTTAGTTAGATCAAGGCGCTCATATAATAAATAATTCTGCTTGATAGAAGCATAACGTATTCTGGAGGAACAAAGGAGGATCTTTTAGAAAAGCTTAGCAGGGTCATGAAAGTTTTCTTGTTTGGTATGTATTCCATAAATTGACTTCACATTACTAGGCATAAGATAGACCTGGAGTTAATAGGGATTGATGAGCAGTATTTTTAAAGTGAATTGAAAGTATTAGTAACAATTAACTTTCTGTTTCTTTGCAGCCAGATGTTCATCCTGGGAAGTGCTGGGCTTTTCCAGGCTCCCAGGGTCATGTCCTCATCAAGCTTGCGGAGAAGATAGTCCCTACTGCTGTTACCATGGAGCACATCTCTGAGAAAGTCTCTCCCTCAGGAAACATCTCTAGTGCACCCAAGGAATTTTCTGTCTATGTGAGAAGCTTTTTATATCATTAATAATAGGTTATGACTAGGGTGTCATAGAAGGTAGTTGGCTAGGATTTAAGAGCTGAATTTTCATCTTAACTGTATAGTTATACTCTTACATCATTTTGAGATGATAATTTCTCAGACCTCTGTTTACTCATCTGAAAGCAGAATGGTGGGCCATTTCTTTTGATACTTATCAAAGTTACAAATATATTGTTGTTGTTATGTGCTCATGAGTCGCCTGTGACTCATAGCAACCCTGTGTATCTGTGCTATCCTGGGTTTGACTCTGAACCTCAATCTCACTGACTCTGACAAACCACTGTGTGAGTCTCATTGACTCTACCCCCATTACTCCAGTTACTGTGTCAATCCATCAGGCTGTTTAAGAACCACTTAATTATCACAGATTGAGTCCTGTAGTATCTTAATTCCTTTTTTTGCCATAACACTGTTGGCCATGCAGGCCCCATTACTTTCTTCACTATGTTCTTGTGTTTCTTGCATTGTTTTCTTGAGGTTCTTTTCTTCTCATTAGTCCTCTCATTTTCTTTTAAACAATCCCAGGAATTGCAGATCCTGCCAAAGCCTTGCTACCATCAAAGTAGATTCAAAATCCACATGCAAAGCTAACATCTGGTGTGGTTGTGCACATTTTGGTGACTTTTCCCTGCTATTATCTCTTTGGTATCATCAATGCCCATTTATTTCTTCTGCAATAGTCAAGTGGTGGTGAACTTCATGATTGAGACCTTTGTCATTCTTGATATTAGCGGTCACTTAGATATTCCAAGGGAAAAACATATGTACAATTTTAAAAAAGAAAATAATTGCAGAACTTATTATGAATGCATTTAAAACTTAGAATAATGTTTTCAAGATTCATTCAGGTTGCAATGCGAATCAGCAACTTCATTAATTTATATTGTTGAATAAAAGTTTATTGTACACACATCCTCTCATTTTATTTATCTATTCATCAGTTGGTGAATACTTGGTTTATTTCTGAGTTTTTTCTTTTTGTTGTTACTAATAACCTTATGCTCCTTGCATAGTTTTCTTGGTACACGAGTTTTTGTGTGAATATATGCTTTCCTTTATCTTTGGTACAGACCTTGAAATGGAATTGTGGGATCACATGGTAAATCTGTGTTTAACATCTGAGGAATGACTAGACTGTGCACCTTTTATTTATGCTAGTCAATGTGAATAATACTGTTCTGAATTAAGTCATATAGTGTGTGGTCAAATTTTTTTACCTTATATTTGTTTTGCCTGTAGTTTGGGGACATTCTTGAAATTAGTAATTCTTTCCTTTTTTAAGAGTTCTCTTTTGGAGATTTCTATTTCAATTTAGATGGATGCTAAGTAGGCCTGATACAAAGCTATTAATTGTGAAATTATTCTCACCATCAAGATTAATGTAAATTTATCAAGATTTCTTAGTGTAATTTTTCCTCATGTTCAATTTATGTCTGACGTAATGAATTTGAGATAAGAACTATTTTTTTTTGTTTCTGTAAACACTGTTTTGTAGAGTCTATATTTTTTTATTTCCTGCATGATATATTTTCTTATAACTCTGAAGATATTATGTTGTTGTTGTTGTTATGTGCCATCAAGTCACTTACGACTCATAGCAACCCTGTGTACAACAGCCCTAAACTCTGCTCTGTCCTGTGCCAATCGCACTGTCTCTGACACTCCCATCCTGATTATCTCAGTCACTGACTCAATCCACCTCATAGAGGGCCTTCCCCTCCTGCTCTGTTCCTCCACCATCCCAAGCATGATGTCTTTCTCCAAGGACCGGTCTCTCGTCACAACATGTCCAAATTATGTTAGACGGAGCCTCAGAATCCTTGCCTCCAAAGAGCAACCCAGTTTAACCCTTTCTGGGATGAATCTGTTTGTTTTCCTAGCAATCCATGGTACTCTCAATACTCTTCTCCAGCACCATAACTCAAAGGCATCGATTCTCCTTCTATCCTCCTTGGTCATTGTCCAACTCTCTGATGCATAACAAGTGATTGCAAAGACCATGGCCTGTATTAGACGCACCTTAGTCTCCCAATAGACACCATTCCTCTTCAGGACTTTGGAGAGGTCCCTAAGAGCGGACCTTTCCATAGCAATGCATCTTTTAATTTCCTGGCTACTGGTGCCAAGAGTGTTGACTGTGGAGTCAAACAAACTAAAGCTGTGAACAATCTTAATCTCTTCGCCATCCATCCTGATGCTGCCAATTGGTCCCGTGGTGAGAATCTTTGTCTCCTTGACATTGAGCCTCAGTGCATATTGGAGGCTACAGTCTTTGACCCTCTGCAGGAGGTGCTTCAGGTCCTCCTCAGTTTCCGCAAGCAGGGTTGTGTCATCTGTATAACGCAGATTGTTGATAGATCGTCCACCAGTCCTGACCCCACATTTCTCCTCAGAGAACCCAGCCTCCCAGATGATCTGTTCTGCATACAGTTTGAAAAGGTATGGAGATGGGACACATCCCTGGCATAGACCCTTCCCAATTTTGAACCATGCAGTATTCCCTTGCTCTGTTCTGATGACTGCCTCCTGGTCCAAGTATAGGTTTCACATTAGAATTATCAAGTGTTCTGGGATTCCCATTCTTTTCAGGGTCAGCCACAGTTTGTTATGATCCACACAGTCAAATGCCTTTGCATAGTCAATGAAACACAGATGTACATTCCTCTGGTATTCCCTGCTTTCAGCTAAGATCCATCTAACATCAGCTATAATATCCTTAGTACCATGACCCCTTCGAAACCCAACCTGAACTTCCGGCAATTCTCTGCTGATGTGCTGTTCTAATTGTTTTTGGATAATCTTCAGTAGAATCTTGCTTGCATGTGAAATCAAGTGAGATTGTTCTATAGTTTCAACACTCTGTTGGGCCACCTTTCTTTGGGATGGGAACAAAGATCTCTTCCAGTCAGTTGGCCAAGTGGTTGTTCTCCAGATTTTTTGGCACAACTTGGTGAGCATGTCCAGGGCAGCATCTGTTAGCTGAAATATGTGAACTGGTATACCATCTATTCCTGGGGCCTTATTTTTTTCCATTTCCTTCAAAGCAGCCTGAACGTCTTCTTTCATCATCATAGGCTCTTGCTCATATGTTGTTTCATAAAATTAGGAAGCATTAATTGACAGATCACATTCTGGAAACTTCTTAGGAAAAGAAGTAATGGAACTTGGAATTTGCATAGAGTATGACCTACATCATTATATTGTATGGTACTCCCAATATTGATTACACTAGAGCTGGAAGGAAGAAGAATGACCTTTGCTGGGCCTATGAGAGTGATCTACCAGGCATCAAATTGCTCCTTGAAGTGGGTGTAAGGGAATTTGGGAATGATCAAGGATAAAGATAGGGCCATAAAAATTACACAACATGCTATTCTGTTGACAGCTGCATACAGGCATAGTCCCCTACAGCAGGATGGCTTTCAGAGGCAGTTAGTACAGAGAACAGCAAAGACACAAGGGCTTGAAAATGTCTGCGAAAACCTACTTAAAAACCTACTTGCACCATATGCAATGCCTTCCTGTAGTAAGGCTTTTGGTCAGAGAGCTTGGAAGAACAGATTCATCTGGAGGTTCTTAGAACCAGAGGGTAGCCTATTGGTAAGAAGCTGTGCTGCAATCCCAAAGGCATACAGTTCAAATCTACCAACTGCTCTACTGGAGAAGGGTGGGCAATCTCCCGTGTTCTGAAAACTCTTTCAAGGGTCAGCTATTAACAATTCAGTTCCCACAGTGAATAACAATAACAAAAAAGCTAGCAGATATTGGGCACATCTCCTTCATTGTGGGCTATTTTTAAAAAAACCAAGTGTGTAGACTTTTACTTTAGACAGCCAGCTGGCCCACTGGATGAGATCGATACTTGTTCGCATTCCAAAGAAAGGTGACCCAACAAGAGTGTGGAAATTATTGAACAATATCATTAATATCACATGCAAGCAAGATTCTGCTGAAAATGATGCAAAAATGATTGGAGCAATATGTCAACAGACAACTGCCAGACGTGCAGGCTGCATTTAGAAGAGATTGTGGTACTAGGGATATTATAGCTAATGTTAGATGGATCTTGGCAGAAAGCAGAGAATTCCAGAGCAATGTCTATCTGTGCTTCATTTACTATGCAAAGGCTTTGGACTATGTGGATCACAAGCTATGGCTGACTCTGAGAAAAATGGGAATCCCAAAACATTTGATTGTGCTTATGCTAAACTAATTCTTGAACTAAGAGGCAGTCATCAGAACAGAGCAAAGAGACACAACATGGTTCAAAATCAGGGAGGGGGCTGCCAGGGATGTGTTCTGTCTCCATATCTTTTCAATCTCTATGCAGAACAGATCATCCGGGATGCTGGGCTGTACGAAGAGGCATGTGGCACCAGGATTGGTGGAAGATTCATCAACAGCTTGCATTATGCAAATGACACAACCCTGCTTGCTGAAACTGAGGAGGACCTGGAGCACTTGTTGCAGAGGGTCAAGGACTGCAGCCTTCAATATGAATTGAAGCTCAACATCAAGAAAACAAAGATTCTCACTGTTGCTGTCTGTTCGCTGGCAAAAAACAGCAACACCATGATGGGCCTAAGCATGATGGAGACACACCACTCCAGGAGAGGATCAGAGAGTCAATCCAGCTCAGTTTTATTGAGGGCTGCAGTGCACTTATATACAAGCAAGTAAACAGGAAGACAGGATAGGGTGCGCTTACAGACATGGGACATGAGGATTGGATAGGAGAACCTCAGCCTCGTGCAGACTACTCCCAGCTTAACAGATGCAGCAGCCATCTTCCCAGGTGTCGAGCTTTCTCAAGCCGGTACAGCCAAACACAGAGAAGCTTTCTGTACTCTGTATTAAAGGTCACTGGGAAGCTTGCACTTATTCAGAGCTTAGGCGATCTGTCCTGGCCAGAGGCTCTCCTTCCCTCCCCCAAATTCCTCAACATATCCTCCCTTTTTCTT